CCCCCTTTTCCAAATTTTAATATCGACTCCAAATAATTTAAAAAGACAAATTACAATAAAACGGTTTATTATCCAACTATCAGAAATTTCACAACATGCCAAGGAAGAGAGGAAGGAGCAATTAAATAATTAAAATTATAAAGGATTAAAAAATATATATAAAAATGGGGAATATCGCGCTTCTGACAATAGCTGCGAGTGTGTGGGCTAAATTTGGAAAATCCGTGCTTCTCGCGTGGACAACTGTACGTGGCCAGCTCATGCGTCGGAAAACCTTCCGATTTATTCGTGTACGCACCAGACGGAGAAACAAAAAATATCGTGTATCCACGAGTACTCCAATAAATAAATAGAATTGAAACAACACTTTGAAATGTTTTCCCGATGAAAACGAATAATAATAATAAGTTTCAATAAAAATGATAAAATGAAAATTTAATTTTATCATTACGAGTTTGCTTGAATTTCGTTTCTTCTGAGATCGCAGCAATGCGCGACGGGTAAGCTAGTATTTTATAAAAAAAACATTCTCAATATTGAAACTTAGCTGTTTCAAAATTTTATAACAGCAATCTTAAATAATTATTGTGCTTATAAAAAAATTGAATATTGATTTTTTTTATTATTATTAAAATATTTTAATTTTTACATACAGATGTTAATTGAAAATGAAGATTTGTCACAAGAAGAAATGAAACAAACTTTACGTGCAACATTGCAAACTCTTACTATGAAGAGAAGAATAATTCATCGATTGCATAGTTGTCAGCATTGGGAGAAAAAAACTGAGAAAGTTTCTACAACTTCTTCCATGAAACAAAATTTTTCAATGGTAAAAATTTTATTTAGCATGTTTTTATGTAAAATTATATTAGATTTTGATATGTATCATTAGTCTATAAGCTGGTTTTTATTAAAAATAAAAATTTTTTGCTGGAAAACATTAAAATTTTCCCGTAATACCTTCAGAGTTCCTACACACCTGGAAAGTTTGGGATTTTCATTTGTGTTCAGAAAAGTCATGGAATGTCAGGAAATTCGTTAAAAAATTTCAAAAAGTCAGGGAATTTGCTTCCTTGGCTGCCTTGTTGATTTTTTCTGACAATGTGCTTGACCAGTGCATCTACAGGCAGCAATTAGTAATGATGTGGTGCAATACAACTTATGAAAAGGGATGCAGAATATTGTTAGGGCCCAAAATTTTTTCCAAGCCGACACAAAATTTTTCCAAAAATTTACAAAGTACACAAAATGATAAATTTAAATGGTAATATTTATCATTTTTCATTTTAATAATTTTGATTGCATAACAAAACACTTTCTGATTTTTCTTCCTGTTATTAATATTTTATAAAGTTCAGGATATTTATTAAGAGATAAATTTAATAAATACAGTGGTGCCTCGTATAATGTACTTAATCCGTTCCAGGTGCACGTCCGTTAAGTGAAAAGTCCGTTATACGAAACACATTTTTCCATAGAAATACTTGTTAAAACATATAATTCGTTCCACAGCATAAAATAACCGTACTGTATCATAAAAAAAAATGAAAATGGAGCAGTCACCAATTATGCCGGGTAGTCAGATGTTGTGAGGAGGAGGCGGAGGAACACTTTCTTTACACATTCATACAGATACAGACTTTTTACACATTGCAACAGGTCTCTTTTTATTGTTTTTTTAATCGGAGTCAGATTCAGGAGAGGCTACCAGAGCTTGCAGGGTCATCTCCTCATGTTCCATCCTTTGTTTTTTGGCAGCTTGCTTCTTGAAAAACATGTCCAGGGTGGTCTGTTTCTCTCTCTTCTTCAACACCTGTTGGAAATGACGGGCAAGGGTGTTATTGTAGAGATCATTGATCCTGTTGGCCTCAGCTCTGTTTGGATAATGAGTGTTGGTAAACTCCTGAACCTCTCCCCATTTGACAAGGAAGTTTTTGTCAACTTTCACTCCTTCTGATGATGTCTTGCTTTGTTTCAATTGAAATCACCTTTCTGTTTTTTTTAGAAGCCATGATTTGCACAACACTTGAATAAATGTAAATACCCTGCACTGAGGTGATGTACGTAATAAACAAGGGAGCAAGCCGAATCCCAATGGGAGCTCTGTAGTTCAGATATACTAATATATTCTAATAATACTAATATATTATAAAAATAGCAGATTTTCATTAGCAACGGCAAAAGAGTGGAAACATCATTTGCACTTGTTCGCAAAAAGTCCGTTGTTCGCGTCACATAATTTCCGAATGGAAAGTTCGTTGTTCGCAGCCAGTCCATTGCTCGAGTCATGTAATGGCCAAATAGAAAGTCCGTTGTTTGCAGCGTCCGTTATTCAAGACGTACATTATACGAGGTACCACTGTATATACTTTTGTACATGGATTATATAGAATTTGTTAATGAATAATAAAAAATAATTGGTTTTTTGAAAGCCATGTAGAAGTATGGTTATGGATTAATAACAGAATTTTAATAAAACATTTTAATTTTAATAATTTAGCAATTATAAGAAAATCTTAATACTGTTTATTGGCATTATTATTTTTTACTTGAAATATTACTACAAGTACATTTGACAAATTGCAGATTGTCTTCTTCAGGCATAGAATAATGGAATCTTAATGAAACCTTACAGTTATACCTTAAAATATATGTTATCATATTAATGTTTAAAATATACATTAATTTGCCATTTGAAACACATTAACGTATATTTTAAATTGTAAAGTTCCATTAAGATTCCATTATCCTATGTCTGAAGAAGACAATTTGTAGTTTGTTGAAAGTACTTGTAGTAATATTTCAAGTAAAAAATAATAATGCTTTAGACAGTATTAATATTTTTCTTAAAGTTTTTGGCATTGCAAGAAGCAATTTTGGGCAATTATAAAAAATATATAACTGATAATTAGAAAAAATAACTAATTAAAATGTTGGAGAAGCAAAACATATGTGCTTAGTAAGTCAAATGCTGTTTTATTTTGTCAATGTGTCATACTGTAAGGGATGTGAGGATCAGGGAATTTGTACAAAGTTGGTCAGGGAAAGTCATGTAAATTAAAACAAAAATTTGAGTAGGAACCTTGTACATTTTAAGCAAAAAATACAATACTAAGAAACTTTAAAAATTCTTAAAGTTTATAAATAAATCCAAAATTTAAGTATTTACAAATATATTATATCTGAAATATCAGTACTATATAGAAAATTTTGTATTAAATTTTAAAGTGATGATAATTTTTTTAATTTAAAAACTGTTATATGTTTTAGAAGTTTTAAAAATAATATAGCATTGTTTATAAATACATTATATTTCAAATTATTCAAAAAACATTAATTTATTTTAATGAATAATAATAACTTTTTTAAGATATAATTTAAAAACTTAATTATCAAAAATTTACTAAAGTCTACTATCAAAAAATTAGACTATGCAAAATACAGATTATTGCCTAAAATAGTATACATAAAAGTGCAATGAAAAAATGTTTACAATATATCAAAAACATTTTATTAACCATAACATTTACAGTTTTCTTAACATACCAGAGATCTTGAATGCCATTTGCAACATTTATAACAAATAACATTCATATACTTTATTACAATATGCTAAACAATTTTAGTTGATATTATCTTCATGAAAATAAATTCTCTTTATTGATAAATACCATTTTTTTAAAGTGAAGTATGAGAATGCTACTATGAGATAATTAATCAGTAATGAATTATTAGAGTTAATAATCATTTATTATATGTTAAATTGAAAAGTCCAAATTTTTTTTAATCATATAAATTTCAGTTTACTAGACTTATAAAAATCTAGTGAAAGATAACATAAGTAAAATTCTGAAAATCTCATTATTAGTAGAGGAAAAGGTGGTATTATGGAACCACCCCATTTCTTACTGATAATAAAGGCAAACTGTAGCGGATTGTGGCTGAACTGAACTAGGCAGACATCCATAGCAAGGGGAAAACCCGTTTTACTTCAATTGAACAGTTGTCCGTATTTAATCAGCANAAAAATTAAATATTTGTAATCAGGTTGGAGCAGTCGGTCATAATGTGAAATAGCCCTTAGTTGTTCGAAAATTATAGTGAAATTAATATGTTTATTTATTGATTGACACACTATTTAACTAGGAGAGGTAAGTGTTTCCTATTATATAAATTATATTTATTTATTTAGGCAAATGTAAACTCAAACTCAGCAGTTTTAAAACCTTCTAATCAATACAGATTGTTGACAAATGAAAAACATTTTAAATTGAGAAAATGAAGATAAAAGTAGAGCCAGAAAATGAATATTCACAATTTACATTGAACCCAGGTGATGTAAAGTTTGAAGTTTTAAAGAATTGCAAGAAAGAATTTAGTATGGATAACAAAGAGTTCTGTAGAATAATTAAATCTGACCCTTCAAACCATAAATACACAGAGGTCAGTAAAATGTACTTTTGTATAGGACTCTAGTGTTGTTTTCAAAGCGTCATTTGCAACCTTTCTACGTTTGCATTAGGCCTACTTCTTCCAAAATTTTAAAATGAATATTGTATACTTAAATGCATTACTGTGGGGAAAAATGTTACAATTTTGAACTGAGTCAGCCGAACTCGAAAGGATCCATGATGTCTACCTATAAAACCTGTCAAACAAACATTAGTGAGACAGTTGACTCCAAAATCCTTTATTATGTCATTGGATTTATATTTATTTAATTCTTTTTTAAAACTTATTGGTTATCATTTGCCTGATTTCACTTCTGATATAAACTGGGCTGTGAAATTTTCAAATTTCAGATCTGTAGATTCCCGGTATAAGCCATCTATTCATCTGTTCTTTTTATATTTGATAACAGAATTATGTAGGTGAAAATCATAAACTTTCTTACTGGAGGATTAACCGTAGTCACGTGATTTTTGAAATTAAAATATCATTCAAAATTTCAGTCAATATAAACAATTTTTGAACCTGGATTATTATGAATAAGAATAAATAATACAATTGAATTCATTGCCCTATTTGAATCATTAAAACAGACAAATAAACAGTTTTGAGTTATAAGTTCATGGGATCAAGGCAAATTTGAGTTAGGGGCCTTACATAAAGTGTATAAAGAAATTTCAGACATTTTCCTTCATGAACTGAAGGAGAGTATAGAGTTGACCTTTAGTGGATGTTCATTTATTTAATTAAATATTATACAGTAGCGCATCGATTATCCAACTCAATTGGAGACTGGGGTTGGTCGGATTACTGAAAAAATGGATAACCGAAAAGTATGGAAAAATACATTATTAGTGTAGTATATTAGTATATCCCATATAATTAGGATATTAGTATATCACAATTAACCTACTTTGCATTGAATTTTCATCGATGTTAAGCCTAACAAAAATTTTTTTAAAAATAATAATTGTCACTATTGTATCGTTAAAAATTATTTTAAAATTATTTTATTGCTCACAAAACAAACAACCACTCAGAATTAGAAAATTAAGCCTCGTTTAAATACTGGCCTTCCTTTCATGGTCGCGCTAGTGTTGCCAGCTAAAACACGCAAAAATTTAACAAAAATAATATTAAAGTAGCCAAGACATAGCCAAGTATTGTAGCGCCACATCACTAGCAGACATTTGAATTTGCTGACTAGAACGCGGTTGGTTAACTGATGTGACGATTGATCGGGGTCAGATAATTATTATCTGACCCCGATTATCATATTAAATTCAATAATTACAGTAGAGCATTAATTATTAATGCTCTACTGTAATTATTGAATTTAATATGAGATGGTGCCTAATGCCTCCCTCTAGTGCCAAATTTATTTGTAATTCATAATTAATATTTCCAAATTATAGTCCAATTATTTATGGCAGTTGTGGGTGTCTATTTGCTAAGCATCAAGTTTCAGTAGATGTTTATAGCTGTATAAATTTTTAAAATTAAGATCAATGGTAAAATACTGATATTTCTGTTTTGATGTAAACATTTTTTTTAATTAACCAGAAAACAAAACAAAAATACCTAACTACAACTCAAAAATATAACAAATGATCTAACTGCAAACCTAATGACAAAAAGAAAAAAAACCTCATTAAAACATTTTATAGGAAATTTAAAAATTTTCATATGTTCACTGATATTTCAGATTCAAAAAATGACATTGCTTAGTCCACAGTTGTAAAATATGCATTTTTTTTAATAATTAATTTATATCTGATATATGTAAAATTTACTTATCAATATATAAAAAAAATTACTAATTTCACACTGATATCTTTAAATGAAGTAAATTTTTAATTATACTTTAACAAAAACACAAAAGTATAATTAAAAAAATACAGCATTTAAAGGTGTCAGATGTAATTAGTAGTAGAAAATATAATAATAATTATTATATACAAAAATTTAATAAAAAAAGTTAATTACTTAATTAATATTTATTTAAAGATTTGGAAAAACTTTAATTAAAATATTATTCTTACTATATATTTATAATAATAACTAATTAAAAATTTTAATATTTCCTATTGATGTTCTTTCAGTCTGACCACTAATTTTCGAGCAGTTGTTTTAATGTAATATTATTGACAGAAATAGATAACAAGGGATAAGAAACTGTAAATTTTAGATATTTCAAAAAATGAGACAAGATTGTTATTATTACAGATAAGTTGACCTAAATTTGATTGTGAATTTTATACTATAAATTTATCTTAAAGTATTAAATATTCTATCAATATACATTATTAACTTAATAAAAATTTTGTCTATAAACAGGAAATGAAATGAAAGATGATTTTTTTTAAGTATTTAAAGTAAAAGGATGAATTTAAAAAAAGCACACACAATTTTTCATTTTAAGATTATGTTATTCTTCATCCAATAAATAAGCATAACAATTTAAGTTTATAACTTTTTAATTATTCTTATATGGAAATCTATAAGCTACAAAAATACTTAAGTACTAATAAGTTTTTAGCATATTTTATGTTGTTCTCAAGTCTTTATGGAGGAGATAGAACAGAATAACAAAAGTATTATTATATTTCATTTTTATAATTTTAATTGATTTGATGATATAATCAAATAACTTTTTTCTTTTTATGAAGGTTCAGGAATGGCATAAAGTATGCCAGAAACATTAGCACTTAAGTATATTCGTAATTTATAGACTATTGTATATGAATAATTAAAAAGTTATAAGCTTTAAAAAATCCTTTTGACTCTTTAAAATGCAATTAAGGAATCAAAAGATTACTTCATTAAGAGAAATAATAGCATTGTTTTTGTAAAAATGAGGCTGAAATGCATATTAAGAAACTTGATTAGGATTATGTTGAATTTATGAAAAATATGAAATTATACATTTACAGTGGAATGAGAAACAACTAAGACCAAAAATAAAGTTTTTGTCCATAAATTTTCTGTTTAACAGATATTTTTTTTTCATTTTTTCTCTGTGAGTTTGAAAAACTCTGGTATTTACATAATGGCTTTATTCCATCTTTTTTTTTACCAGTAATATATTTTATGGGTAGAACAAATGACAGTCTACTTGAAAGCATGAAACTAATAATAATAATAATTTACATTGAACAGAACTAAATTCAAATTTGAGAATAAAAATGGAAGTTTGCTTTTTAAGGAGCAAACTCTATTTTTTGACTTCTACAACAGATTAGTTCCATGAGTGGGTTTTCCATAGTTCTATTTAAAAAGGTTTTTAAAGATTGGTGTTGCCTTCTCTCCAGCCAGCGAAAATCTGTTTAGTGGCAATATATTAAATTAAAGAAAAATTGGTGGTTAGTACACAAGAACTGCAAGGAATAGTTTTAAGCTATTCAATAATGTACAGTATAAAAATGATAATCTTACAAAAATTCCTGAAAAATAATAATTATTATTATTATTATTATTATTTTTTTTTTCAGAATATGAAAGAACTTAAATGTGATATTCGTGATGTCTTATCTTTATTTGACATTTGGCATACCCATTTGAAAGTAATTCAAGGTCATTTTGGTACAGGAGTAGCATCATATTTTTATTTTCTACGGTGGTTGTTTCTTTTAAACTTGGCATTTTTTCTATTTCCATTATGTTTTATAATTGTTCCTCAAGCTATCCATCCAGTACAAAATTCATTTAATCAGTCTAATTATACTTATGATAAGGTAAGCTTTTTTTTTCTTAAATTAAACTTTAAATATTTTGAAGATATATTTATATAATGTTTTTGTTCAATATTAACCAGTTATAAAATTATATATATATAATTTTATAACTGGTTAATATTGAACAAAAACATTATATAAATATATCTTCAAAATATTTAAAGTTTAATTTAAGAAAAAAAAAGCTTACCTTATCATAAGTATAATTAGACTGATTAAATGAATTTTGTACTGGATGGATAGCTTGAGGAACAATTATAAAACATAATGGAAATAGAAAAAATGCCAAGTTTAAAAGAAACAACCACCGTAGAAAATAAAAATATGATGCTACTCCTGTACCAAAATGACCTTGAATTACTTTCAAATGGGTATGCCAAATGTCAAATAAAGATAAGACATCACGAATATCACATTTAAGTTCTTTCATATTCTGAAAAAAAAAAAAA